ACCCCAGCCGGCTGAAATCTGGGTGCTTGGGACACCCTGGCTGCTGGGTGCTCCGGAGACCCCAACCCACTGAAATCTGGGTGCCTGGAACACCCTGGCTGCTGGGTACGCAACACCCCAACGTGCTGAAATCTGGGTGCCTGGGACACCCTGGCTGCTGGGTGCTCCGGAGACCCCAACCCACTGAAATCTGGGTGCATGGGACACCCTGGCTGCTGGGTGCATGACACCGCAACCGACTGAAATCTGCATGCATGGGGCGACGCCCCGGCTGCTGGGTGCTCCGGAGACCCCAACCTGCTGAAATCTGGGTGGCTGCTGGGTGCTCCAGACACCCTGGCCAGCTGAAATCTGGGTGCCTGGGACACCTGGGCTGCTGGGTGCTCCGGAGACCCCAACGTGCTGAAATCTGGGTGCCTGGCACAGCCATATGGGCTGAGCACTCTGGGGACTGGGGGAAAAGGTCCCCTTCATGCCCCCCCAATGCTGAGTGCACCCTGGGGGGCAGAGCCAGACCCTGCTGCTCTCCAGGGCACCCTGGTTAGGGACTGGCCCCACCCAAGGCTCCCTCTTTGCTGTGGGTGCTCCCTGGCAGGGAAGCAGCATTGGAAAACTCCTGTGGAGGTTTCAGAGCTTGCTTTGAGCAGGGGCGGTTGGACTAAATGATCCCCAGAGGTCCCTTCCAACGCCAGCCGCTCTGAGCAATGCAGGCAGCATGGGGGTGCAAAATCTGGGGGCCCTGGGGGGCTTGGCTGCCCCCGGGAACGGGCTGGCCACCCTCCCGGAGGGCATCTCGGGGCTCTGGCTCCCGAGCCGCCGTGCAGGGTGGCCGCAGGACGAAGCAGAGCCCACCCGGGGAAGCTGCCCGGCTCTCGGAGGAGGTGCCCCTGGGTCATGTGTGCCTGGAGACACGTGGAAAGCAGAGAGTGCCCGGCACCCGCGGGACGTGCCCAGCTCTCATGTTGCAGCTGTGTGACCGCTGCTGCGGTTTAATCCTGGCAGAAGTATTCCTGTGCCACTGTGCTGCTCTTTTGCTGTGTGCTGTGTATCTCTGCCACCAGTTTGCCCAGGGAGGAAGTTCTGCAGGAGGGAGATAATCGTCTTAAATCTGTTTTGCCCACAGACAATGGTGAGGTCACCGTCTTGCAGGCAGGAAGGCATGAGTTCCCCTTCACCTTCCAGCTCCCTGAGTAAGTTGACTTTTTTTGTTGCCTTAATGCAAAGGGGGAGAGGAGCCGCTTGGTCTGTGACACAGGTCCTGGGGCACCTCGAAAATGAGATTCTTTCAGCAAAGCCCTTCTGAATTGCTCATTACTTACACACAGGACCCTGGCTACCTCCTTCGAGGGAAAGCACGGCAGCGTTCGCTACTGGGTGAAAGCCAAACTGCACAGACCCTGGTCGACAGTGAAGAAGGTGAAGAAGGAGTTCACCGTGATTGAACCCATCGACATCAACACGCCTGCGCTGCTGGTGAGTTCCCCCCACTCTGCCTCGGGGCAGCGGCATCCAGAACTTCCCTGGGAAGCCCACGGGGAAGGCATCTGCCTCCCCTCCGGCATTACAGTGCGGGCCTGATTTCCAGAGGGAATATTTACCCCCTGTAACTTGTGCCCTCCAGTGTTACCTGGACTGGGCAGAGGTTACCTGTGTCTCTTAGTTTCTGGAAACTTTAATGCATTGCGACAGCACCTTGCATCAGATACCTAAGAAGTTGCTGATGCTCCCCGGCAGGTTCCCAGTACCAGGGAGGTGCTTGCTTTGAGTTTCATCCTTTCTTACTAAATAGCTTAAATATTTCCTTTTCTCCAGGCTCCCCAGGCAGGTGCTAAGGAGAAACTTGCTCGTGCCTGGTACTGCAATCGTGGCCAGGTTTCTGTGACTGCCAAGATTGACCGAAAAGGCTACACCCCAGGTGAGGTGACATGCTGGTGCCCTTGAACCTCTGTGGGCCTGGGGTAGACTCCAGCGGGAGGGGATCTGGGGTCACTGTGAGCTGGGCTCTTGACTTCTGGCACGAAATCAGCCAGAGAGCTTTAGTGTGCGCACCTGATGCGGGCAGCCTCCTCGGGACGGGCTCCTGCTAGCTTAAACCTTGTGCCTGCGGTGCAGGATAGCATGCGCAACCCTCGGTCAGCCTATGCAGGAATTCTTGGGGCAGGACTGGGCTCCATCTCCCCTCCTCCAACATGTGCGTCTGTTGTGGTAGGTGAGGTCATCCCTATCTTTGCTGAGATTGACAACTGCACCAGCCGAGCGGTGGTGCCCAAGGCGGCCATCATCCAGACTCAGACCTTCATCGCTCGGGGCACCAAGAAGCAGAAGAAGCTGGTGGTGACCAGCATCGTCGGCGACTCCATTGCAGCGGGGAAGCGGGAAGTGTGGCACGGGCGGGCGCTGAAGATCCCGCCGGTGGGTCCGTCCATCCTCCAGTGCCGCATCATCCAGGTGGAATACTCCCTGAAGGTGAGGGGCCTCCCGGGGAGCGTTGCGGGCGGCTCAGCTCAGTGTTGAGCGTTTTCCCCTTCTCACTGGAGCTGTGTGCTCGTTGCGCCCGCTTTGGGCCGCTGCAGAGATTTTGGGGCTGATGATTTGTATAAGGTCTTGGGTTCCCCCTGCGCAGCTGTGGCTGCTCTCCCCGTTGCCGCCCGTGCACGGCACGAGGGCTCGTGCAGGAGCATTTGCATCTCCCTTTGCATCCCGCTGCAAGAATTCCCTCTCGGCCAGCTCGAGCCAGTGCTCTGGGGAGATATCTGCCCCGCCAGACTGGGAAAACACCAACAGCTTCCCTGCCGTCTTCTGTCTCTGAAGGTTTGTGTGGATATTCCTGGGACGTCCAAGCTGCTCCTTGAACTGCCGCTTGTCATCGGAACCATCCCGCTGCACCCGTTCGGGAGCCGCACCTCCAGCGTCAGCAGCCAGTACAGCGTCAACCTGGACTGGCTGAGCTCCATCCCGGAGCAGCCGGAGGGTGAGCGTCTCCCTCTCCCCGGGATCTGTCTGGGTGCTGCAAACCCCCCTGGTCAGCCCGCTGTGGATAGCAACGGTCGGAGCAAGTTCCCAACCTTGTCTCTTGCTCCAGGACCAGCTTTTGCTTTTTCACTTAACTTTTCGGCTGTGGTGCTGCATCTCCTGGGTTCTTTCCCCAGGGAACTGGGAGGGTTTGGGAAATGGTGCATTTCAAGCCTTTTACCTGCATGTCTCCCATTAATGGAGAGTGTTTCCTGTTCCCTGAGGGTTCTCTTCTCTCTTCAGCTCCCCCGGAATACTCGACGGTTGTGTCCAGCCCGGAGGCCGAGCAGAGCCTGGCTCCGCCATGCCGCAGCGAACTCGGCGGCATCCTGGAAGGTCCCTTCTTCGCCTACATCCAGGAGTTTCGCTTCCGACCACCTCCGCTGTATTCAGAGGTAACAAATCCCCCTGGGCTGGGAGAGCTGGTGCAGATGGCTGGGATGCGCCTGCTGCCGAGGTTTTTGACTCTAAACTTGGCTTTGCAGATTGATCCAAACCCCCCTTCAGACAACATCCGTCCGCGCTGCATGACCTGTTGAGAGAAGCACATCGGATGCAGTTGACAGCGTGGTGATCCCTTGGGATGAAAGCTTGTACCCTCGCAGCACTTCGGTCTGGAAATGGGGACGTGGCGGCCGTGAGACCAGAGCTCCCGCAGCGCCGAGACCCCGGCTCCGCTCGCTGCCCTCAACTGTTCTTGCTGTGACTGTCCTGCGGACCGACACCAAGCGTGGTGTCGTGGACTTGCACATGGTAGGAGAACACGTGAGACTCCGCGGTGCAGAGTGGCTCCGTGTGTGGTTGGGCCGGACGCGGAGGGTTAATAACCACCCCAGGATTTTGGGGTTCCAAGGGGGGGATAGTTGCTCTCCCCTTGCCTGCAGTGGCCGTGCTCTGGCAACTCCTGTCATGGAAAACAGGAGCTTGGAGGTATTTCTCAGGATTACTAGAGAATATTTTAATCTTGCTCGGGTTTGAGTCCCGTGGTGACGCAGGTGCAACCCTTTTGCTGTAACTCACCAGGACTGCAGTTCCCTAAAAAAGTAACGTGTCTTTTTCTGGCCAGATGAAGCAGAGTCTTCGTCTGCTGCTGATAATTTTTGCCACGAGCCTGGTGATGCCTGCAGGGGGAATGGTTTGAGCTAGTGTACTGAACCTGTAAAGGCTTCCATGGGCTGTTACCAGGGCAGAGGACGCGGGGGACAAATTTGTGATCTGTGGCAGCGTTTTGGTGCCGTTTACCAAGAACAGGAAATGTGTGTCGGCACCAAACCTGCACAATGTGCTGATGCTCCCCCATGATGGGGCTGAAAACCAACCCCCAAACTTGCGGTACCACCTCGGGGGTGTTGGAGCTGTGGCTCTGGCATCTCCCTGGTGCACAAGGAAAAGAGGAGGAAGCCTGGTCCGAGGCTGGTGGCAGCCACAAATGCTGGTGGGAGATGTGGAGTTGAAATGAGTCCTTCAGGGCCAGGAGTCCTGCTCAGAACGGGCTTGATCCTGCGCCCGTAGAGGGGTCGGTGGCCCCGGCACGGCGAGGACACAGCAACGTGTGCTCACCAGCGCGGGAACCGGTGAGCCGGGTGTCCTAGCAAAGACCACTCGAGTGTGCGTGCCGGGGCTGACCCCACTCGCTCCGGCATGACCTGAGCGGAGTTTGGGTGCTGAGGACCTTTGCATTCCCTCACTGAGACAATCCTGCCTGCGGGGCCGCTCGCTTCCCCGCGCGTAACCAAAGCCAAGCGTGCCTTAGCCTCCGTGCTGGGGGCCGCGCTCTGCTCGCTGGGGATTGTTCAGATGACTTTTATATCTGTGAATACTTTTGTAACGACCACTCTTGCCTCTGATCATTCTTTTTGTATGACTTTTTGTTTGAAATAAATTCCTTAACGCAGATGTTGCCTGGATATTTTTCTGTTGGTCTCTTTCTGCTGGATCTGCTCACCAGCTCTGCCCACACTTCCCGTTGCCCGGAGCCACGCAGCTCACGTGGCTGTCGGGATGGCGGAGCGGGAGCGCTCCCTCCCCTCGCTTCATCACCCTGCGGGCACCCAGCTCCACCCTGCGCCCAGTCCCACTCTGCACTGGGATTAACTGGGTCACTCAGCCAGCTCTGCTCCCCAGCAGGATTGGTCCCCCGCGCTCGCAGCTCCCCTGCCCAGATGCTGGGCTCCCACAGCGAGCACTGAGCGATGCTCCGCGCCGTGCCTCCAGCCCCTCCGCCTCCATGCAGGTTTGCCCTTTTTCCTGTCGCTGGCTTAGCGGGGCTGCGAGCGCTCCTGTTCAATTTTCCATGCTCGCTTCCTGTGTATCCGGGCTGCCGGAGGACAGATGCACTCTCCTCCACCCCGAGAGCCCAGCGGGGACCCAGCAGCTCCCACTGGCATGGAGGAGCCGGGATGCTCCCGCAGCAGCTCGGCTGTTCCGAGGAGGGTTGGATGCCGGCTGGGAATGGCCGCTGCTGTGTTGGAAGAGCAGAGGGGCTCCTCCACCTGCTTCCTTGTGTTGAGATTTGGTTTTTAACAGCATTTCTGTGCTCCGCATCTCTGCTGAGCACAGCAAATCTTGGCACGTGCAAAACAGGGCTTGAGTCGGGTTTAGTTATGTCTTCCACAGACCGTGCTGTTTATAAATATTGCTGCTGGAATGTGATTCCCCCCCCACTTCTTCTTTTTTGTTGTTGTTTGCCGAGCTGCTCAGCGCCGCGGCTGCGTCGGAGCACGTCCTCCCACAGCGGGCCAGGCGCTCAGCTGCGGCCCAGCGAGATAACTTACGCCGTGTTTGCCTGCGAGAGCCTGGTGCGTGTGCAACCTTTATTCAAATCTGGTTTTTATTTGGCATCCCTGGCCGCACCAAGCAATCTGCCTCGGAAGAGGATTAACCGGCCTCGCAGTGAATTTGTTTGCATCCTCGTTTGGGGCGATGCATGCCTGGATCTGCCGCTCACGGTAGCGGTGGCCGGTGCTGCGTGGCCGAGCCACGAGGCCACGCAGGGGCACGTCGGTGACATCAAAGGGCACAAACCGCAGCGCCGCAACCCCCCGGGATAAAGATGCCTCCGAAGGAAACCCTGTGATCAGCCCCGCCGGGGCCGGCGTGCAGCCAATCTCC